ATTTAGTGTTGAATTAAAATACCCAATCCAAAATAATATTGCAACAACAATATCTGGAACTCTGCATTCATCACATAAAGTTGTAATTGTGTACCTAAGGAGAGATTAAAACAAAGGTTAATGACTGGATGTTATATATATATTAAGCATTGGATATATTAATGTATTATCTTAGTAATTAAAGAGTATCACTTTATTATACTCGATAATAATAATAGTAATAATATAATAATATTAAATATAAAGTATAAAATAATACATTAAAATAAATAATATAAAATTGATATCAATATGTGAATAAAAACAATAAATTTATTTGTTAATTATAAACAAAAATTTTCGTGATATTTATTTAAAATAGATAATTTGGGTCTACGTCGTAAACCAAGTTCAGTGTTTTTATAATATTTTATTATTATATAAATATTATTATTAATAATATTAAGGATTTTAAATTAAGTTATCATATTTTTTTAAACCTAATACCAGGTATATGCATGTTTTTTGTGAGTTAACTAATAGATGGCGTGAGCGAAAAGTATGTAATGTATTCATTTGTCATAAGTCATTTTAATCCTCTGACATTGAACCACAATCAAGTACAATGAAGCTAAAAATTAGCGTTTTTATTTGATCGTCCAGTGATTAAATCGAATTTTACGCTCAGTGTAAATGGAGTCACAGTCAGTTGCCAAATTGTTCTTTAACACCACGAAAGAGAATTATTATTGTGTCAAATTGCGACAAGTGACGAAAGATAGAGATATCACGAAAAAATCGTGATTTTAACCTGATGAGGTGGATCTCTTAACACCAAGGTTGAATTGCTACCGAAAAAGTCCATGCTTTGTGTCTGATGAGATCAGAACGGTATAGTGCATTAAAACTTTTAAAGCCCGCTAAAAACGTGTAGATCGAAAGATGACCAAAACATATGGCAAAATGATTTTGTCACACTTCAATGCGCGGCACATGACAGTAAAACAGTAAAACATGAAAAATACACATGCGACATCCTTCCATACCGGCCGTACTTTCCAGACCTGGCCTTATCTGACTATCAGACCCCTTTGCATCAATAAGGCACTCATCGTGTATATATAAAATTAGTTTTATTTTAGTAAGTAATGCAAAGTTGAATCTGTTATCTAAACAGTAATTCTTTTATCTACTTTAGGAGTCAGTAAGATAGACTTAATAGTGTACCTTTAGAAATGGTAGTGGTGGTAATAATATTTACTGAAACTATTTAAGCAAATGGAAGAACCGTGTGCCCCTAAAAACGAATACTTAATTCTAACAGAATACTGTCTGATTCAATTTGGAAAATGCCAGCACAATTATTGTCGTTTTCAATCCTGCGTACAGGCTCCACGTGGGACTACTGGATAGGACTACTGGTCTAAACTGAGTAACTGCTGACTAATGAACTAATAATGTGTATAGCGAGTCCTATTCCCTGGACTTTTAGTTTGAGTTTTGCACTTGTCGCGAAGCAATGTCTTTTTTACCACAATTTAATGACTGATGGTGCTTCAACCAATCGAGCCAAAACTCGATTTTGCTATAAAATCGCCAACGTTTCATCATGGCAGGATGATTACAGGCAAATGATTAATAATATAAAGGCACTCGGTACTATCGACAGCGAGCGAGTAACCAGGCTGACTGGCGGCGGCTACCGGACGCTGCTAATGACAGTTCACGTCTATAATGGTCAACTAAGTAGGTTAGTAAGTATTACTTTAATATTTATGTATATATTGATACAATCATAATATACGGCATAAATCTGACATAAAAAACTATTGCAGTATTTTAATTATGATATATATAGTTCTATATATATATATAATTCTTATCTGTGCGAAGAATAACTGTTATTAGAATCATTGTTTAGAATATTTTAGAAATATCGAAGCTCATGGATATGTGGAAACATTTCGTAAGTCCTTCAAAGTTTCTTCTACTGTTTTAGCGAAGTAATAAAAGTTTTAAGGCAAAAGAATAAATGTTACTTATATAAAATTAATTTCCTTAATGTTTATTTTAAATATCTATGTACTTTCACAGAATTTTAAAAATTATTTTAAAATAATTCAGTTAACCTTTAGTTTCGTAAGTTGGCATACTTTGTATAAACTTAAATATTGGTTAACATTTAAAGGTCAGAAATATGTGAAAAAGTTTTTGGAAGTTTGTTAAAAGTTTTTTTGAAATTGAATACTACTAATGTATTATAAACTAAGTAAATTAATCCTTTCATTATAATTCCTTACAGCTTAAACTAAAGTTTAAGCTTTTCATTTGATATCAACAGCTTTTGATGACACCTCTATGGTTTGCCACATCAACTTTCAGTTAAATACCATATACAAATATTTTAACAAGGATCATAAAATAACTTTAGTTTATGGTAGCTTAATTGAAACAAAAAATAATTATTTTTTAATTAAAAGTATCTCAAAATAGTGGAGCTCAGTTTTCAAACGCTTTGAGTTACACAAAAAACAACTGCTACTGGCTAAGTACCCCATCAAGTGCATAAAATTACCTAACTTCAGGCAGCTAAATTGTGCAAAATAAAGTATTAAATTGCAGCTATGGCAAATTTTAATATTAAAAAATATTTTAAAATGCATTTCTGTGGAAATGCTTTTGTTGTAGAGATTTCTGTAATACAATATATTTCGGTCGACAGCCGCAAGAGAGTAAAAACTGAAAAACTGATTGCTACACATAACATACCTTAAGGTGATTTTTTATATATTTTTTTGTTGGTATAGAAAATTGTTTTAAATCCACAAACTTACCACAGAAAGAATGGCAGCCAACAAACTATAAAAGTGCCCATTATTATACCTAAAGTTCTTGCAGCCTTGTGTTCTCGTTTCATTTTGATTAAATGTTTATCCTTAGTGGGCGTATGATCCTGCTCGACTTCATGCAAAGTTAAAGTTTTTGATGAACCGGAACCGCTTAACGCTTCGCCTGCAGAAAATTAGCATAAAAAAGTTATTTAGTACATTGGTACAATGGTTCAGCCATTGTCTTAATTAATAAGGAACCAAACAGTGAGAGTTCTTAAATGAACAGCCGTCGAAGGCAGGTGCAAGAATGCAAAAAGAGTTCAATTAATTTTTGGTTTCTTGTTTTTTTTTGACAATAAAACACTTAAAGAAATGTTTTTTATACCATTCATTTTATCTACAATAAAAAACTTCTTTGCTTAACATCGCATATGTTAAGTTTGGTATGACAGACATGATTCTTCTAAAGGTGAGCTCAAAAAATCACTCATACGCCACGTATGCCGTTGAATGTTTGAACTTTAATGCTTTTCGACGGATACACAAAATACAAATTGCATTGCTTTTGGCTTGGAAGTGCGTGTATGGAAATGCTTAACATGCCAAAGTTTGCACATTAACCAACTTTAGTAAAACATATGCGTTCCATGTACCTGGCACACATGGCCAGAAACAAAACAATGGCACTTTTTTGTTAAGCGTCATTTAACTTTTTGCACCTGCCTTTCAATGCGCATTTAGCAAATCCATTGTGTTTTTTCTCTATTTACTGTACAGGCTGTTTTAGCAAAAAACTTTCTTAATTTTTATCACATGTTGGCATTTCTTGTCATTTCTATTTTTATTCCTATTTGGATTCATTTTATTATTTAGCTTACCGCCTGCGCTCACACCCACTGATTGCCTATGCATCAGCATAGCGTTGCCTTGACGCATCATCAGTTGTTTCTCTTGTCGATTCGCTTCATGGAATATGGCCAAGTACGTGAATATCATAATGGTGCAAGGTATCCAGAACGAAATCGAACTGGAAACGATGCAGTATGGCTTATTCACAATGAACTCGCAGCGGTCTTTATGCGCCTCGACGAATCGCTTGTGATCCTCGGTCGTATACCAACCAATAAATATGGGCAGAAAGGACAGCAGTGCTGGTGATATCCATGTGTTTAGTATCATGATACCAACGACGCGCTTTGTCATGCTAATCGGATACTTGAGCGGCTTTACAATGGCATAGTATCTGCAAAAGTGAAGTAGAATGTGTTTGAATTCTAACAGAGATAAGTTTGCAAAGTTGATGAAAATCATTGAAAAGCGCAAATGGTACAGATGTACTGCAATCTGATTAAATGGAAAATTTCTCAATGTGAGAATGTAAATTCTTTCATTCTGATGAATGAATGAGTGTGAAGTTTGTATGAAATTAATTTGGATTGTAATTTTTTTCAAGATGCATGATAAGGTGATGTCTTGAGTTAAAATGAAATAAAATAAAATAATTATATATATTAGTTTAAGTCTCATTTGCATATTAATGTATAAATTACAAATTATTATATATATAAATTATATCAATTAATATAATATATGGTATTATTAGATAATTTATTGTTTTATTGACCAAATTTTATTTATAGATTTTATAAATGAACTAGTTGATCAATGATAAATAACATACAAACTTTTTAAATAAGTTTTAAAGAAATATATATAATTGCCATCAATTTTTCGACTATAGTCAATAGTCTTCAGTAAGCAAAAAAAATATAAACTTTATAAAAATTAATTAATTTTCAATTCATAAAATTTTAGTTGAAAAGTATATTAAAAAACGTTGGATATTGCTTTCAATATCCTGAAGGTGGCTTTCGAACTATCGACTAATTTAAAAACTTTATGTGTTTTTTTTAACATAGATTAATTAGCCCTTTCAAAGCTAATTCGAGATACAAGCTGTTAGGAGGTAGTGAGTGCACTATACATCAACCACATCACAGTCTGCACCATCATAAGGAGTTGAATGCGTAAAGACAATTTGATTGACCGAATTGCCTGTACTAAAATCCAACAAAATTGAACCATTTTTAAAGCGAATCCTTAGGGAGAATGAAAAATATATAAAATATGAGAATAACTAATGCAAATGTTATGTTCAAAGTACTCTCCATAAACGACTTCAAAGTCTATATTGACTGTAAACAAGTTTGAGGTTATGTCAAGTGTTTGATTGGATTGGATAATTGGATGAGAATTGTCATATATTGTTATATATATTGGGTCTACTATATTTTTTTCAATGTATTAAAAAATCTAAACAAAACTAACGTTTGTCAAATTATAACCGAGCTATTCCCAAACAAGTGGCGGTGAGTGATCCAAAATTGCTTGAAAAATATAGTATAGTAGTATATAATGATCTGTGGAATATAATTAAGTAGTATTGTTTTCCACACTTCATTGTCATGACGTGTAATATTTGTAAGAAGTACAATTACTTGCTTATTGCTATATACAAGTAATATATTGGAATGAGAATTTGACCGAAATCTTACTCAGTACTGTATTTAAGTGTTGAAAGAGACAAGGTTATCCATTAACCCCGTATTATAATTTTTATCATTTGCAACACTTTCTTTGCAAGCTATATACATTAAAATCTAAAAGTATGTGAATTTAAGCCATTAATGTAAAACTGTTGGGGATGGATTTGTTAGTCTTAATGACATATAGAATGATATAAAACAGACAAAGGAATTCATGACTAATATGAAGTTTATTGGTATAGATAGATTATAGAGAATTTCAATAGATAAATATTTTTAAAACATCATAGTTAAATAACCTGCAAGCTACCACAATAAATCTTTATAATAAAATATTCTTCAGAACTTTCTTTTCATTCAATATACAAAATTATTATAGGATAGAAAAATTATTAACGCAATATTGGTGAAGTAAGTAGAGTTTCAAAAGAAAGAGACCTTATTGGAAAAGGCTACCAAGACTATCACAATTTAAAATGCTTTTAGGGACTTACAACCTAAAACGCTTACTATCTTTTATTAAAGAAATCCGACTTGCAGAAACACTCTAATTCGACTAAGGGGCAATAGGTCGCAATAGATCTTTTAGTAACAATATGTAGAGATTCAATAGATAAATATTTTTAAAACATCATAATAAAATAACCAGACCAGCTATCATAATAATATTGGTTCAAGACATATATATATATATATATATTTATTTTAATACATTAAAACAAATTTTTTTTTATTAAAATTTGCAAATTACCTATCTACTGATATGCAGCACAGGTGCAATATGCTCGCTGTTGAGAAGTAAACATCCAAACTGTTCCATAAATCGCACAAGAACGGACTAAATAGCCAACTGCAATGAAGAAAACAAATAAAATTTGTATAAAATTGTAAAAACTATATAATTTTATTTATAATATTATATTAGAAATAATTTTTGAAGCCATTAGTATCAATTTACATTACTCAAAATCACATTAGTCGCAGATAAGAGCTTTTAAAATTTAAAGAACCTAAAAGTACGTTTTACCTTAAAACCTTAAAAGGCTGAGACTCCATCAAATAGGCTTACAATTTCTTTTTTTTATTGGATAAAAACTTGATTCCCAAATGTAAACTTTCGACAACATTCTTTCGAATGGAAAATTATTCGAATCGTTTTTGGCAACAGGCACGATTTGCAAATGCATTGAAAGTTGTGCTTCGCATTGATTCTGCAGTCTTTCATGGCTGAAAGTGCAAATAATGATTTCCAAATTGCAAAGCAGCAGAGTAAAATCGAAAAATGGCATTTTAGTCTAGGCATAGAGCATGGAGCATGGAGCACAGTTCGCAGGATAAAAGGCGCAAGGCACAGGGCTCTTGGCACACCCACCAATCAAGCCCATTACTCACACTACCCACTGTGACCCAATTAAAACTCATTTTAAATTATGTCAATTTATTTATTTCTTGTTACTTTTTTCCTTTATTTTTACTATTTTTTTTCCTTTTTGTTTGCACATTACGAGCTCATAGCTTTTTAGGCGAAATTTATTAACAGCGCAGGATTTGGCGACATTTTGCCTATTTTTTCGTCGTCGATGTTCGAAGGAAGTTTGCAAAACTTTTGTTAGGCAAATGAGGTATGGCACCTGGCCCAACTGATACTGTCCTATTTTATTCATTACTTTTTATAAATTGGCACTGTTGATTATGCAATGAGCCAATGGGGCACTGTGGCACTCTGGCACTATGGAAATGTGGCTCTGAGAACGTCGAGGGGTGCTGCGAAATTTGCCTGCGAGTGAAAAGTTACTAAATGAAATGATTATGATATTGTTTGGAAAATATATCTGAGAAGCGGAGTAAAAAATATGAAACCTTGCAGTAATAAGTTCACTTCAGCTGAGGCAAAAGTTTTTCCTAATGCATAAAGTTACAAGTTGTTGGGTTTTATTTTTGCTACTCTTGCCTGCGTTTTTGCTGCTTTTTTGCTGCTCTTTGCTTAGCCGATAAAATCGCATCCTAATTAAGAAAAAAAACTTTAAAATAACATTATTTTTGAAAAAGGATAAAAATTGTTTTGTGGTTAATGGTAGGAGGTACATATTTATAATTCCCACTTATCTTGCTTTGGTACGCAAAACTTTTATTCATTAAAAACCATTTTAAAAGTTCTCGAGTTTATTTTTTGCTCACAAAAAGGATATGAAAAACCAATTTACTTTAAGTGTTGTGTGGTTGAGGTTTGTTTTTCCCCTTATTTTCCTCATCTTTCCCATTTTGCACTGTTGCCAACCTCAAACAATAGTTCATTTGCTTGAGTTTTATTTTTAAATAATTATGTTGCATTAGAGGCAGGTGCGTTTAGACTTTAAATAAAATTGGTTATCGTGTGTTGTCTTTTATACTCACAATGAACTTCAGTAATTTATTTTCCAAATTTATCATTAAATTATCAAATTTCTTCAGGCATTTTCGTATAAAAATCATTAACAAAAATAAATATTTTTTTTTATTATTAAGGATATCAAGTGAGAATTACAGTAAATGCAACAATTAACGTTAAAGTAACTTTATATGGCTTATTCGCAAAATATATTTATTGGATTTTGTAATTAATTACTTCGAAGTTTAGTTGTTGATAAGTTGGAAGATTGCTTAAGGTATTGTTTCCAAGAATTATGCTGAGTTTAATTGTTTTTCTTATAAGAAATATGAATATAATCTAGATAATCTCGAAAATCTTCAAGTGATAAGCAATTTAGGTAATTAAAATTAAATTGTAAATAGTGTAAAATAAAGTATTCATGAAATATAAATACATTGCTTATTATTGTTTATAATAAATTATGTGTACAAAGTTGCATTCGAATAGCATACGACTAAAAACTAGGAAGATCAGTTTAAACTGAAATCGGAAACCGGATAATCGGGCTTGGGTGTGTAAACTCAACTCATCAAGCAGCGTTACAAAAATTCTGACAAACTTAATCTTTGCCATATATTAAGGATTTGTCAAGAAAAAAACCCCATTTACACTATTATGTGTGAAGGGAAACTCATGCGTCACGTAATTTCATCGCTACTTAGAATATGTCAGATCTGTCGAATGCTCATATAACTTGGAGAATAGCAGCAAAGATGGGGCCAGTCCTCTGGAACGCTAGACCTATGCACTCATTCTCAACATTAAAGAATGGGCGATAAGAAAACTATTTGAAGTGGACTACAACCTGACTCAAATATTGAGAGATCATGCAAGGTTTTTAGAATATCTTTAGAGAATTCAGCTGGTAGTTAGTCCAAACTACCCAAGCTGCCACAACGTCGCTGAAAGCATAGATCATGTAGTTTTTCGTTGCGACAACTTTAAGGAGAACGAGACCTACTAGTAGAGACTCTAGGAGTGCTAGCAGCATTGAGCATGAAATGTGTTCAAGCAGTTTTAAATGGAAGTCGGTGAAAACGTTTGAAACGAAATTATGCGGCACCGTAAAAATAACAGCTAAAATGTGACACAATTGGAAGGACGACAAATGAAAATACAAAAGCTGAAAATGTAGTTAATGAATTGATGACGAAAAAGTAATATTTGAATTTCGTGCTCTCGACGGACTCTTGACATACCAAATCGATGATCCCGAAATTGTAAAACGTCGGACATCGGGGTGATTTTGATGGGTTAAAGTCTCATACTGCTTACGCTTTCGATTGCTTTACATTTCGTTAAAAAAAGAAAGATCATATAATCATGCAATTGAATAAATATTAAAATTAAGTAACATGACGATATTGATATACTATACTTCAGTGAATTAATATCCAAGGGCTTAGTTAAGGCGTGAGAACGGGAAAAGAAATATGCTTGGAGCAGTAGTTGGAGAAGGAATTGGAAGAAGTAGACCATGTCTCTGGTGGGGTGATCAAGTCGAGCAAGCACTAATCGCACTTGATCAACGAGGCCAGTAAGGTACATACGCAGCAGATTCACCAAAAAAATCATACTGCATTAGTCTGAAACTGGGTAACAAGTTGTTATGGCCATTTAAGTAAGTAAGTAAGTAAGTAACATACATATTATACGTATATGTTAACGAATAAATAAGTTATTAGACAAGAAAAGATTAACAGACAGAAGTAAGTCAACATATAGAAATAAGTTAACAGCTAGAAATAAGTTAACAGTCATAAGTAAGTTAACCGCAGAACTAAGTTAACAGGCAGATATAGCTTAACAGACAAGAAATAAGTTTACATGCATAAAAAGGTTAACAGTGAACAAATAAGTTAACAGACTAAGTAGTATTAACATAAACTGTTAATTTAAAGAAAAACTGCATTTGTGATCATAAAAATGTTATCTAGTTTGCAATATTACGTATATAATTACTCAAAAACTTATTTTACAATTTAATTTTAATATATTTAAAAATTCTAGTGCAAATATTAAAACAAATACAAATATAAATTATTTTATGTAAAATTATTTGACACGTAAAACTAATTATATGCATTCTTGAACAAAATTAAAATCCTAAAATAAATAAACTACATCTCGCATGCTTTAATAATATGTATATAAAAGAGTATTAAATGGCAGAACAACTTCATTTGCTCCGCAATGAAAACATTTAAATAGTCCTTCAACCTATTTGCCAGTTTAATTTGCTTTTGCTAAAAGTCTTTGGTAATTAAACGTTTTTATTGCACGGCGCCTGCAGCAGAGTTGAGTTAAAAATCATAAATTCGTTAGACGACTTTGTGCACAAAACCCATTTACACGACGAGGAGAGGCGGCGAAAGGAGCGAGGAGCAAAGGATAAGCGAGCTAATATCCTTAAAAAAGTGATATGGCAACTACGTGGCAAATGTAAACATTAAATGAAATAGTCGAAAACAAGTGGAAAAACTTTACCGCACAAATAAAATGCTTTAGCACATAATCAAAAAATTGCTTGTCTGCAGTGAAAATAAAAATAAAAAATAAAAAATAAAAATAGAAAAATTAAAAATAAAAAACAAAAACCAAAATTTAAAACTTTATTTTGGCGTGTTTAATCCGTGTAAGCCATTAAAAATTGAAAAACCAAAATAAAAACCGAATAGTTTGTTTCACACATTTACCAATAGTCCCACCAATCCCTTTGCAATGCAGGTTGCAGGGCGGGAAGGAGCACTAAGCCACCATTGCAAGGGCTCAGCTGATAAAAAGTTTTAATTCATTTTACATGCTCTTTTGCCTCGCTACGTTTTGGAGCGGTCATGCCAGAATAGTCAAATAGGAAAAATTAATCAGACTTAAGGGGACTATGGATTGGTATTCCATATTATAGAATTCCTTTGTTCTTTGAGGCAATTTTCAATTACTTCCACAAAAATTTGCGCTTATTGAGACTTTGTATTAAAAATACAAAAAACGTCTAAAAAAACATTTAAAACATTAATTAAAATATCTTTATTGAATTATTATTTTCAGTTTAATTCTCTTTCTTATTTTTAAAATAAAATTTATATAAACAAAATTTAATGTAAAATTAAAACAAAAGAGACAGAAGTTTTAAACCCATTGAAACAAAATAATATAAAATTATTTCAATTAAACTGATAGATCCTTTCAAATTGTGAATAAATATATTTAATGTAATATATAATTTTTTTACTACTTGATTGTAGCAGAAATAGAGACATCAAAATTATCCTGTATTTTCAGTACTTCAGAATATGAAAGTTAAAACAGCCCGGAACCAAAATTCAATTAAAGAATTCATATTAGTTGCCAATAAACGGAGCATTTTAGTTTGTATTTAGAGTTTTTGACATAATAGTATCCCTTAATTGAAATATCCATATCACATACTCAGTCACACGTATTAAAAACCTATCTTTTGCGATAAAATTCTAATAAAAGTATCAAATGAAAGTATTCTCATTTTATCAACAAAAATGTTAGCAACTACATTAGTCCCAAAAGTCTAAAAACCGATCTGAGTGAGACACCACATAACACATATAACAGAGCTAATCTAAAAAGTGGTGATATTTGACAAAAGCTATATAGTGAGAAAACTTCTTAATGAAAACGAATATAGCATCTATATGAGGACGTAGAAGTTGGAATTGTACTCCATTGGAGCACAATTCATTGTTACATTTTACTTGTATAATGTGTAATATCCAGTATTTCAAATGAGATTAATTAAGTTTTATTAAAAAAATAATATGTGATGAAATTTGAAATAAAATAAAATAAAATCAATTAAAATAAAATAAAGTAAAATAAATTAAAACAAAATAAAATAAAATAAAATAAAATAAAATTAAATAAAATAAAATAAAATAAAATAAAATAAAATAAAATAAAATAAAATAAAATAAAATAAAATAAAATAAAATAAAATAAAATGAAATAAATAAGATAAATTAAATTAAAATAAAATAAA